GCGCACCGGGTGAGAATAGCCAAAAGACTAGCCTGCACTATTCTCATCCCGGGTGAGAATAGAGGTGGCCTCTTTATATAATTGCGTAGGCTGGGATGGTCGCTCGTTACGGAGTGTCGGAAGTCCTTCATATATAAATATGTATTATTTAACAAAATTCGCCTGTCGGAGGCAGAGGGGTCACCCTCCTCGACTTGAAACTGAGTTTTATTTGTTATTATTATTTTATAATCTTATTATTCACTATTCTTACCAGTGGCTCGGTGACAACCTCTGGATCAGCGGTGTTCTTAGACTCTTTGTCGGCCTGGCCTGGCGTATAGATCGTCATATTCGCGGGCAATATAACAAACAGATTAAACTCTTGAAATTTCAGCAGCGTTTACTTTGCACGGCAAAAATAAAGAACGGAAGAAAGCCCTTCTATCCCAGGATGTTGACAACAAGATGTACACTTCCCCAATTCTCCTCACAATGTATACAGCACAAATTGATTACGTACTACGTACTTCTGTACTCCCGGATTTTGTGCGGATGGTAGTATTCTAGAAAAAAAAAGTCAGAAATTCAGAATAATACTTCTATTTGACGGTGAAACCTAATAAGTCTTTGAAATAACCGTGAATATCATCACAACCGTTAGCAGATTCAGAGACTTTACACTTGGACAAATTAATACTTTGAGTGGAGAGCTGCAAATCCAACAAACCGATAAATCGTAAGAGTCGTCTATTAAGCGCTTGATATGGGAACACTTACGATACGGGTTGCGGTTTTGTTTGTTTGGGTTTTAACTAGGCCTAGGGAATCTAGATCAAGATAGATCTAGTAAAGTTATTATTATCAAACTGTCAGTCTCTCTTCTCCACCTATATTGCCGTTATGAATTTTATGCTTTTGTCTCTTAAATTTCTTAGTTCCGAAAGCTATAACCAATAGAATCTAAATAGGATTAGGCTATGTATTTTTAAAACTGATTTTTCTTCGACAGTTTTTAATTAACATTTTTATGATTATCGTGCAAGCTCTCTGGTTATACAGCCGAGGAGGCCGTGTTCAGGGGTGTTATATCTTCATTATATATTGTCTTTTTTCTTGTATTAAAATATGTTTAATTTGTAACCGTTTATACACACGATGTATTACAGATCCGGCAGATAGTTTCATCGGAAAATACTGGGTAAAAATTCTAAGAATCAGTGCGTTGATAGCGTTCACTCTGCCAGTGCGGCACACTGGATCAGTTGTTGTACTATTAAATATGTGAACACAATAAAATGCTAGTAAAGAAGGATACTACAATTTGGGGGACATTTTTTTCGTTATGTATATATGTAAACCTAACAACAAATCTAACCTTTAACTCTATTAACACGTAAGGAGAATAGCCGTCTTGCCTTCAAGTGGTTGATAAATCGTGTGGGAAAAACCTGGTAGTCTTCGTTGTGATGGTGATGTCAACAGTCTCGCAATGGCTTCCCTGTGGGAACAGAAATGCCAACCATGGCTAAGTGAGGATGGGTCAATATACAGCAAGACAGATACAGCCCCAGCACCATCAAAAGATTTTGTACAAATCTATATCACCCCAAATGAGGTAATGTGACAGCTTTTGTAAAATTTGCATAAACACATTTGTTTTATTTTCACGATCAAGTCCATGCCCGTCGCGTGTCCGTGGAATCTGAGAAATGAATAATATGGAATCCCATGGGCCATCATGGTTCGATGGGACCCATGCCGCTGCGTAGTTACTAATGCTACTTCTTTCCTAGATCGATGCGTGCAGAGCAGCCTAGTGTCAAGTAGAGTTTGTTTTGTCCCTGATGATTAAAGAATCTTTGTGACCTAGATCTATCCCTCATGTCATAGATCTAGATCTAGATCTAGATCTAGAATCTAGATCTAGATTCTAGTCTAAATCTAGAGAGCTAGATTCTAGATCTAGAATTCTAGATTTTTCTAGATCTCTATGTGTTGTTGGAACATAGATCTATGTCATGTCATAAAATTATGGAATTGGTTCCCCTATTATGAAAGTTCAGATTGATTAACTGATTCCGTCCATGATTTTTTCAGGCTCTGGACAGAATTATTTTTCCTTGTTCAGTTAGACCTGGGCCTGGGGTGCATAGACTATGGCATTATAACTGTGATTAAGCTCTAATTAAGTTACTGTATAGGTATTGTCATAATCCAAAGTGATGGGAATCAATAGAGGAATCTGTTTATATCAATAACAATGACCTATAATCTGTATTGTATTTTCTGTCAGACAAAAACGAATGAGGAAAACAAAATTGCGCAAACCTCTTCGAAAATTTCAACTTACCGCATTTTCTCAGCTCTAGTCCTTATAATCCATAGGAATCAACACAAAATTGTAGCGATATCACCCTACCACACATTTATGCAAGAATTTCACAAATTTAGTTGTTTCTTTGAAGGGCTTTTTCTTATACCAGGCTCCGTGTTATTTACCCATTAAATCTAGCCTACATAGCGGCAACAAAACAACGATTTTTGCAAGAATTTCGGGGAGTTTCGATCAATATTGGCGCTCAGAGATCGAGGTCAGGTTTGTTTACAAGTTGTACTTCCTTTCGACATCATAAAAAGTAAGAACTATGTTAACTCATTCGCTACGTATTATTTTCGGCTTGTGGACAAATTTTTTTCGGGAGGGCGAAATGAGATGATGACTAGTGCGCAGTTCACAGGTCTTGGGGGCCATAAATTCAAATAAATATCAACATATTATATACCAACATTTTCAGTATGGTTTGTAGAATACATCTGTATTGTTTATTTGAGTATTTTTCAACTTTGGTTCCTGTAAGAGGCGATTATGTAACACAATTGTGATTGGCGGCGGATAAAATTTGAAAACAAAAAACTTATAATCTCAGTTGAAACTCAAAAAATATCCTTGTACCTAGTCAAATTATACATCAAAATAACCATAACTGTATATAGAACAGGAAAATATTGAAAAATGAGCAGTTATTTACATACATTCCATAATATTTGTACATTTGGGCAAAATTTGGATCATAACCTCCGATATTGAAAAAAAAATTTTTTAAAATAATTTTGAAAAAAGGATCCCAAACAGAAAAAAACACTCGTATCTTATATGGAATTATTCAGAATTGCATTTGGAATAAACCTATACATGTCTTGGATGGTACTTTTTGAGTAAATTCACCAAAAAGTAGTGATTTTGGGGAGAAAAAAAATATTTTGACTATTTAGATCTAGGCCTAGATCTAGCACTCAAAAATATTGATTTCTCAATTACACTGCACTGGCAATTTGAGTCCAGTAGTATCAATATTATAAGAAGAGTCCTACACTTCTTTAGTGAGCAAAATAATGATACATTTTGTTGTGTAAAAGTACAAAGACTGGTGTCTGGCTATAATTTGGGCTTCGCGATAAAACAATGTCGCATAAACTTCGAAATCGTGTTACAAAACTGAATCAAAACTTCCGAATTTCGGTGGAAACGCTTGACCCGGAAGTCAACTTTATATTATGACCTTTATTTTAACATGGATATGTGGATTGGAATAGAAACCAAGCTAAAATTGAACGTCGGTTCTCGAGCCGCCGGGGGCGGCTAAGCGTACTGACGGCACTCTAGCCGCGCCGCCCCCCACGGCTCGGCGTAGCAAATGAGTTAAAAAGTGCATTTTTGTTTCGGATTTCGCTCAGATTTCGTTGAGCCGCTCACAGCGGTCGAATGGATGCAGCGGAAAAACTCAAGAGCCGCTTGTAATGTCCATTTAGCCTACCTATGCCAACCTGGCATAGCAGCATGTAAACAATGCTGGCCATTGGTTTTGGCAATTGAAGAACAATAAAAAAAACAAAAAACGAGCAGTCTGAGTTTCACCATCAATGCCTTCACTCTTGTTTCTATACTCTTCGTCATCTTGTCTGCTGTGTGTTATAAACTGGACCTATAAAACAACTAAACATTATATTGGCGACGAGGATGGGATGTCCATTTAGCCTACCTATGCCAACCTGGCATAGTAGCATGTAAACAATGCTGGCCATTGGTTTTGGCAATTGAAGAACAATAAACCGCTGTCAGCGGCTGAATGGACGGAATCAGTTAAAACGACCTACACTGTTAGTACTATTATTACTGCTTTGGTTTGTTCACCGAATAACTGATTAATTCCTCCTTGCTTACTCCCATCGATTCCATCAGTTTTGATATTTAGGATAATAAAATGATATAGATCTGTGTCATTTGGAATAATAAGACTGAGTGACAACTCATGTTGGTCCTGCAGCCTGTTTGCTGTACAGTTTGCAGTTAGTTAACTTTATGTGATTTCCTGACTGCTGTAGGCCTACAAAATTGACACTCTCAGTCGTTTGCAGCATAAAACGGAAGTTTAGAAATCAGATATTTCATCAAGCGTAGATTAAATTTGTGGTGCACTAAAAGGTTTCTTGTAACTAATTGTGAAGCGAAGTTTGTGGCTCAGCACCAAATGTTTTTATTGCCTGAGAATTGGCCTATTTCCACTCTAGAAAATTAAATATCCCATGTGTTTGTCTATTTTCAGATCTATTTTCGACAATGGAAAATCATTCCTCCTACCAGAGCTGATGCAAATCAACAACCAGTGGAAATGAAATGTACTTATGAAGAATTTCCTGATGATGACGGGTTGAGAGGTACTCGATGAAGTTTGATTGGAGCAGTCAAAATGTGTGCCCTGTGTAGGAAAAGTTATCCTATTTGTATCGTGTGTAGAAAAGCTGTAATGTTTATGAAGTGTAAGACATATTAGTTGCAGTCAAGAAACCATAGAGGTTGCTGTCTTTTGCTCTTACTCAGAGACACATGTATACAAGGGCAGGGGCGAACGCTGTGCGTGTGGATAAAAAACTGTCCCACAATTGGAACATAATTAACATAACTTCTTACTCGGAGTTGTGAATGAAAACAAATCCTGAATTCATATTATTGCATGTTTACCCGCCAAAACAATGGCGCAAATATCTTTTTATTTAATAATTTTATTCCCAACTTGGGCAAAAAGTAATTATAACTTTTAAACACCTGATGGGAATAATGATCTCAATTTTTTTCACCAGTAAATTCACTAGGTGTGAATAGAAAAGTACAACGCGAGGAAGCAGAGATGACTATGCCACAAATTATGTATATTAGCAATTCAGTTTCAAATTTGGCTGTCTTTGTCTAGGCTAGCTTTTCATGGCCAGGAAATCATATCATGACCTGATTTTAGAACGCGGTAAAAAATCGAGGAAAAAAGCAAGCACTCACAGCAGCCACAAGATTATTAGAAGCAGCCGTGCCCTTTTCTTGTTTCAGGTAGACTCCACTAGTAATATAGTGTTAAGCGCATAGAGCTTGCTGTAGAGCCGGGTATGTGCTATACAAATGCTATTTATTATTATTATTATTATTATTATTATATAAATCTAATTGTTAGCTTACATAATCAGTGCTTGTGACTCTTTATGTAAGTGTAAGTGACCCAAAATGGATGAACAGGGTGAACGATGAAGATGAGTTTATTAGAGAAATTTTAAATCTCAACAACGAGGACATCACCACTTTGTGAAGCAAAAAGGCTCCTCCTTGCTGCCCTGTAGTTTTAAATTTAAGACTGTGGACAAAAAACGGGTAGTAAAAAGAACTTCTCTTTTGTTTGGAGGTGTAGTCATAAATAAATCCACTAACAATGGTGAATGTGCTTTCCATGAAACAGCTGATGTGTCTTTTCTATGAACATTTCATTCGTACTTAGATTTTGGCTTTCAATTCTTTTTGCATCCTATGCATGATATAATGATGAATATTATCAGCCCTTATGATTTTCAACTTTTTTTGGATTTTTAAAAATAATCGTGACATGTTCTTCATGTGAACGAAAGAATTTATTTTTATGCATTCATGATATACCTCTTTATGGTATGTGTTAATTCATCTTTGTTTTTTTCTGGTTAGAATCTATTTCTCGGAACTTGGGGGAAAGAGAAGTTTCTTACGTGGATCGACTGATTGCTGGTCAAATCGATTATCCAAACCGCCTTCCACGGAAAATCCTCCTGCGAATCATGTTCAATCTGGATTTGACGTCCATTGCCAAGTTAAGTCAAGTAAACAAACAGTTCAGAGAGGTGAGCAAAACTTGTCTAGTCAGTTACCACTTTTAGTACCGACGGCGACTTAAGTTGCCTGGCCGTAGTATGTGCTCATTACCGCTAGCGACTTTAGTTGTCGACACGTCCAGGCACGCTAAACATAATTAAACAATGAACAGAACACTGTACTGAAGTAAATGCCAAAGGAAGTCATTCTATGTGATTGCTGAATGGTTGATGAAACAACGAATTATTTTAGCGTGTTTCTCGGGCTATGAAGATTTGTAAGTTGAAAAAAAAATTCTATCATGGTTTCAGCGTTCTAAACTGGTGCGGTGCTTGAGGATTTTTCACTGTCTGAGCTTTAGATACTGTAAGTGCTAATGGTGCATCGGTTCAACTGGCATGCTGTTAGTAGCAGCCAGGCATGACAACTGAGCTGGAACACGGCAGTAGTCAGATGTTTAAAATGGTAACAAACATCTAACACCCCAGCTTATTTACTTACTTTAATTTCTCTGTCCTCTTGTACCTCTAGGGCATCGAGGGGAGAAAGAGTTTCCTGTCTCTGGCTAGTTTGATCGCCTGGCTGGGTGGAATATTGTATTTTATCAGGGTATCCTTCACACCCTGGATCCTGCTAAACCATATTATTGTTATTGCTACCGATCCAGAAACAACTTTGTTGTTTTTGCTGTTGTTGTTGTTGTTGTTGATGTTGCTGTTGTTGGTATTATTGATCCTTAACTCACTGGAGACTGACAGAAATTTCAGGGCATTTCGGGGCATATTTTGATAAGCTGTATCTCAAAAACTAATAAAGCTATCACTTTCTCCTTTGTATCTGTTTTTATTGAAATGACCAGGTTTCCAACAAAAATAAAAATGAAGTCATTATCGTTATTAGTTTTTGAAATACGCCCATGTAAATTTTGATGAAATTTTGTCTTGCGCATAAATTTTGGAGACATTATATAATGCAAAAAATAACAAATGAAATAAAGCAGTGTCATCACCACAACCATCCCCAGCTGCAACACTTGCTATTGTAACATCTTGTAGATCTAAAACTTCTTCAGTTTCAATATATCTGTCTTTGCTTTTAGTAGCAGATCTTCTAGATCTAGATCTAGACTTACTCTCACTTACGTTTCCTTTTGGATGGACCTGGTTGGTCAGGGTCTGAAACATAACTGTCGTCAGTTGACTCACTATCACTAGATCTAGTCAATCTATCCTGATCTCGCTGTTTTACCACAAATTGTGGATCCCCATCAGAGTCATATTCAATATCTGATATATCAGAGTCTACTTCATCAAAAATTCCAAGTTGTTTAGCCTGTTATTAGGCTTACACTTTCGTTTTCGATGTGCATTCATGTTCAGTTTCAGTGGAGAAGAATAGCTATTTTCGTTGTTCTGGGGTGGTCGTAGTTTTTTATTTACCAAAAGTTTGGTTCGCTTCCTATCAAAACTTGGATTGCAGCTAATGGTGTAAGAGTGGTGACTGCGTTATTCTGAGGCCACTTCTCGCATATGTAGCGGGATTTACCTAATGTTTTCCCTTTGACTAATTGGTCCCGCATAGGGTGCGGGACGCGGCCGGTAGCGTTAATGTACTTGTCCCGCAGCTTGTGCGGCAGGCGTCGCGAGTGAGATAAACACCTTTGTTCAAACTGTCTGTTTCACCTGTCTGTCCCCCCCCCGGGGCGGTACTACTGACTGAAGTACTGAAGTGTCTTTAGGCCATTCCCAAAGGGGGGGGGGGGGATATTATGTTTTTATGCACAGTAGAATTGTAAATGGGCTGATTTATCAATGCCATGCTCATACTGTGCTGAAACAACATAGGGGGAACTGTTGCTTTTTCTTTCCTCATCCTTACTATCGTCATTTTTCCCTCTAATTCTTTTGCATGTTTGTCCTTCTCTTGTGAACTGCTATTTCTGGGGTGCCGTGATAATCGAAGCAGACTTTGTCCTGTTGAGGCTAGAGAGGTGAGCAGAGTAAGCCTAATTCCCCTTTTGGACTTCTCTGTTGACATCCACCTCTTGGCACTCATATTATGACCTTATAATGCAGTTGCAAGCGCCGTAAAATCTTTCTAAAACTAATTGACCTTATGCAGTTGCGAGCACCGTAAAACCTTACTAAAACAACACAACGTGGGTGGTTGGCGGGTGCTCTGGTGTGGTTTGCTCCTTCTTTCCTATAAAACAATCTATCGTCTTTATATCTCCTCTCCTTCTTTTTTGTGTTTGTTACTCTCTTGTAACACATCTATTCTTCGGCACTTTTATGACCTTATTGTGTAGCAACTGCCGTGAAACTCTTGCTAAAACCTCAACTAAAATGACCAATGTGTGTGTCCCCCCAGCTGGGCGGCTGCGACGCGCTGTGGTCCAAGATCTACATGGAGCACACGACACAGCCCGTCACGCAGGAGCTGCTCATGCTCACCGACCAGAAGGGCTGGAAGGAAGTCTTCTTCATGAACAAGCTACAGCTGCAGGTACTATAACAATGATTATGATATTAATAATAATAATAAATTTAATGATAATGATGATGATGACAATAATTTTTTTTTTCCCTTAATGGGCCTGGTGGACTCCACGAAGAAATCTGCGAGCGAGAGCAAGACTCTTATTCGTCTCCATTGTCATTATACTTAAAGGCACCTACTCCACTCCTCCAAATAACTTATTGATGATGATGATGATGATGATTGATGATGATGATGATGATGATGATGATGATGATGATGATGATGATGATAGTAGTAACAATATATAACAATATTTTTCTTTTCCTGTAGTTCAAAAATCAGTAAACCGTGTATTGTTTCTGTCGCCCCCCCCCCCCCCCCCCCCCACCACCACCATAGAGGAATTTGAGACGTCAGGACCCCAAGCCTCCCAAGGAAAAAAGGTTCACTTTTGGGGAGAAGTTTGGGAAGGGTGGTAGCAGCAGTAGACTCCCAGAAAAGCCTTCATGATGTAGCGCTACTAACCTAGAGCCTCTGCCTTGTTTTGTTAGACCTTTCGTCTCGCTTACCCTGCCAAATACCCTAACTTTACTACCGTATGTGCTCTGTGAAGAAAAAACTTGTTTTCCATTCTTTCACTTGGGTTTTTTGGGGGGGTTTTTAAAATAAAGTCTTTACCAGAAATACCCTAACTTTACTTTGTGCATTGGGAATGAGAATGAAAAACTTGTTTTGGACCCATGTCTTGGGAGTTTTTTGAAAGTCTTGTACTATGTATGTGCCAGGATGTGATGGAATCAGGCGCTCGTCAAGTGTTGGGCATAACCTCTGGGGTTATTGGTGTCATCTTAAAGCCTGTTCATTTGCCTACCTTTTTGGTGAATAAAATATCCATCCATGTTGAATAGAAGTCACAATATTTGCCGCTGAAGGAGGTCAGGGTTGCCTGGTTCCAGAAATAAATTTAGCAAGAAAATGGCTGTCATAGTTTGTCAAACTTCCTTAGCCTGAGAGTCATTGGAAACTGAAAATTTTCTATTTTTGTGTGCCTATAATCAATGTTTTTCATTAAAATCCAGGCAAAAAGGGTTTTTCAAATGGATATAAAAGGTGTTGAGCCAAAACGAGAAAATCAGAAAATAGATGCCCATTGGCCAAAAAAATGCAAATTTCTTTGATTTCATTATTTTGACGAGCGCCTGATTTCATCATGATACCTCACATATATACCCTAACTTTACTCTGTGCACCGTGAAGGAAAACACTTGTTTTTTTACCCATCCTTTGAGTGTTTAGTGACCAGCCTGATGGTTTGTGAAAATGGCTCACCTGCTAACTCTGTGTAGAGTGCTACTAACAAGAACTGTAGACTTTTTGTAATGATTGGATATATATGTTTTAAGTCTTCCAACTTTTCCTTTTATGCTCTATTATGAATTGGGAAAAAAAATGCTGTTCCCGTCCTCCACCCTCCCCCCCAAAACCCCCAAAACAAAACAAAACAACCGAACAAAACAAACAAACAAATAAAACAAACAGACAAAACAAGTAAACAAAATTGAAGCAATAAAGCATTGCTTAATGGGAAGTCTCCCGAGAACTTCACAGAACCTTCCAACATCTCGTGCAAGCTTCCTGGGCTGTCATTGAGTAGGGCGGTCTAATGATCTAACACAACATGAGCTGTTCATCGCACACTCACAGTCGTAATTGGTCGATTTTAAGCACAAAGGGCCTATCTAAAAAAATACTGTTTTGAGAAAATCGAGGGTAAAGTTTATGCCTCTTGTTCTGTTTCTTTATGTAAAGAAAATATGCACTGAAACTGTCAATGTTGAATTTTCTAGCGTCTAGATTAATGAATCGTATACAATTTTGTGAAGCAGATGTTGTTAGTGCCATTTTAATGTCTGTTGAACACTATCAGAATGTCAAGACAAAGATCATAGTATGTTCTGTTATATGCCTCTCTTATGCCGATGAGTTACAATTTTGACTTGCAAACATCTGAGAAGGTGAGATGCAAAACCCGGTAAGCGACATTTTGGAAAAAATTGAGATTTTTTTGCTTATAAATGCACATTGTTACCGGCTATCAGATGTACAAAGTGTTTTTGGCCAAAACCCAACACATACTTCATGAAAGCCACAACAAATCTTCTTTTTGCGCATGATCGTGCGTATAGCAGCATTTAAAAAAGCTGATTTTCTCGAAAGTGCTAAAATAGATGTAGCGGGTTTTGCCTTTCAGCCTGTCATCTATTCTCATGTAGCCTTCATTTCCCTGGCATCTCCATGTCACTAAATTGTGTACAATTTTGAGGAGAATATTTTATCTTTGTGCCATAATATATTGTTATCAGTCTTTTGTAACGATGTCTTAGTTCTGCCTTACCTGAGGGACTTTTACCTCCATATATTTGTGTAGTATCTGAAATATTTAGAGAACTTCTTATTTTTATCAGAGGCAGTTAATTTTGTTTCAATGTTGAATGTGCAATTGTACTGTAGACGAACAAGTGCGACGAGTAAGCATTAAGATTTTATGGATGAATGTGCTGTTATTTAATTTTTATTGCATTGTGAGAATCTTTTGCACGGGGGAGCAGTTTGAAGACATTCCGTCTTGTGTTGTCTGCCTCAAAACAACTATATATAATGCTAAGGCAGCCCTTCCTCCCCTGAAGAATGCCCAACCACTACAATATTTCTGCTTTGGTTTGCTCAGTTATTTTAGTACGGTTTTATGGCGCTCACGACTGCATACGGTCATATGAGCACCAAGGGGTGGATGTCAACAGAGAAGTTCAAATGGGGAATCAGGCTTACTCTGCTCACCTCTCTAGCCTCAACAGCACAAAGTCTGCTTCGACTACCAAGGCACCCCAAAATAATAGTTCACAAGAGAGTGACACACATACAAAAGAAGTAGAGGAAAGATGACGATAGTAAGGATGAGAAAAGAAAAAGCAGCAGTTCCCCTTATGTTGTTCTGTCACAGTATGAGCATGACATTGACAAATCAGCCCGTTCACAATTCTTCTGAGCATAAGAACATGTTAATATTCCCCCTTTAAATTGGGAATGGCCTAAAGCACTTCACATTTTCTCACATAGACCCCATGGTTTTCCTCTAGAGATGAAGTGTGAGGTTTGTGGGTGCTTTGATACGGTCTGCTCCTTCTATTTCTATTCCTTTTTTTAATTGTCTTAGTCTGTTACCATCTAAATTTAGCTGTAAAAGGGCTTTCAAACTAGACTTTGAGAAGGAATAAGTGTTTTAGCTTTTAAAGTATATTACAAAATGAAGCGTTTCTTAATTAAGAAAATAGAAGAATATGAGTATGAATAAATGTGTTTACATAGCTGCATTGCTATGGAAAGTAATTCTTGTGAGCTTTTTAATTCAGAGCTTTTGTTTATTTGCCTGTTAATTTTGGCTGAAGACTGTCTGATTTTGTGGTGTTGAGTTGCTTATTGTTCATTTTTCAGATTCTTTAACCCTATCGGTACATCGTGTTTTACTACCGTATCCATACAACGTGGGGAACTCTGTGCCACCCCTTTCCAAAGAGGAAATTTACTCGTTAATCTGATCCATACGCTTTGCATAGCAGTCTATCAAAATAATTTTTTTTGAAATGCTGAAAGTTTCAAAGAGATATTTGTACTAGAAGTAGGCCTATTCTAAAATGTGAAGAACACAACCCTAGGGGTACAAAATGACCCCAAGGCATACGGATAGGGTTAAGCAAAGACCTTGATGATGTCACTTCCTACAAAAAGATAACTGACCTAGTCCGTAGTTGATTCGGAATAAGTTATTGGCTTTTGTACATCATCTTATACAGAAGTGTTCTTTTACTCAAAGATCAGTTTATTATTCTGTTCGCAAATTTTGCTGGGTTTTTCTCATTCCTTCTCTTAGTTTCATGATTAATGCTTCAATTTTTTGTTTGGAAATATATTTTTGCAGTACTTTTTAAAAATTGTAACTTTGGGAGCTCTTGCAATTTCGTATTAACTGTCGTATTCAAACCAGTTAGTTTTTTTAGAACTGGGAAATGTTTTGCTCCTTAATTATAAGAATCAGTTTCTGCAGTTTAATAGTGGAGCTCAAGATCTTTGCTGCTTCACTCGGACAACTTTTGCACTCTGTCAGTCTGTCACTTCAAAAACTCTTCAAACTATGTGACGCTATTGGGCCATCTTTTGCCTTGATGTTAAACCCTGTGGATTTTGTTGACAACTGCTATTGTGTGGAGATAAGTTTATATTCAACATGGAATGAACAAGAGAGCTTTTTTTCAAGCATGGGCGCCTTTCCATGTACTTTGCTGGGATCAGTATTGCTTTGTGTGCTGAGCTGAAATAACCTCGAACGCACCCTCTTTTGAGGTCCAAAAATAGCTTTTTATCTTCCTGTCCCCCGTTGTTGTTTATGACAAAGATCTGCTTTGGTGAAGTACTCTTGTGAAGTGCTGCCACCGGCACTTGAGATAAATGTTGCTGAACCACTTCAGTTTTACAAAGTGAGAAAGAAGATTTAATGGGGTCGGGGAGGGTGGGGTGGGAGTTGATAGCAAATATGATGCATAGTAGGGAAATCAGGCGCTCATAAAAATAATGAAATTGAAGAAAACAGCATTTTTCTGGCCGTTGGGCAATTTTTGTCAAATTTTCTTTTTTTTTTTTTTTGCTCAACACCTTTTATGTCTATTTAAAAACACATTTCTGTGTTGATTTTACTGAAAAACATTGATTAAAGGCACAAAAAATGTAAATTTTCGGTTTCAAATAATTCTCAAGCTATGGAAAAATCAAACTTTGGGGGCCATTTTCTCATTAATTTTACCTCTGAAACTGGGTGATCCTCCCCTCCTTCAGTCGCAAGTATCTCGGCTTCTATTCAACATAGATGGATATTATTCTCACTAAAAGGAAGTCAAATTGACAGGCTTTAAGATGATACAAATAACCCCATTTGCTCAAATATCAATGAGCGCCTGATTCCACCACGTGACATACAGTGTAGGAATAACTCTCTCTGCTGTGTCTTTGTGTGTCTGTGTTGTTCTTGCTTGTGTATGAATAGTATAATTGTGATGTTCTATTTCTTCTATTTGTATATTTTACATGGTTTTTCTTTTTCTCAGTTTTATCTGCTTGTGGGTCTCTCTATCTGTGTGTGTGTG